AGGTACATGAATGTGCAGTTCGCTTTCGATCAGTTTGTTTTCGACAAGGAATCGATATATTTATAATAAATTGATCGATGTCGAAAACGTTTTTGTAAGGTACTTGACGCATTTTATAAACATTTAATAGGATAGTATAAAATTAACAAAAATTTCATCAGTACATGAGTATATGAATGTATAAAATAATAAATAATAATTAGCTGAAACTTAAGTGTATATAAGTACTACAACTGTGTCATGAAAAATATAATTTAACTTTATTTTCGTTTTTCATTGGCTAATAAGAATATTTCATACAGTTTACCGAAGGTTATTGAAAAGTTTTCATATTCTTCATGTGTCCGGGAAATTATAATGAAATATACATTTTACCTATGGTAAATATCAATTAACTGATAACTGCTAATATCATAGATATGTAATTAATTATAAGATAGAAAAATAACAGTTCTTGCCCGAAGTACTACTGTAGTACGAGTAAATAATTACCACTGGTTTATACTTAAAAGTCAACACCAGGTTTCAAAAACGTAATAAAACGGTTTAATTTTTGTCTTCACTTCCTAGAAACATTTAATAATTGTTTCATGAAAATAATATTTAATTTGTAACACAATTTATCGCGATGAATATATATTTTAAAATAATATTCAATGTACACATGTGTTCCTAAAAATTATATTATTTCAGTTCACACTGATGTGTGTTACGTGATATCACATTACAAAATTGCACTCCCCTTCTGTGTGCATTCCACAATGAAGGGTTGTATTGGGTATGTATATTTAGAGGAACCCTATGGGGTTGAAGACTATACGACTTTGCAACTTATAATACATTTATTTTCTTAGCAATATACACAGAGTATGAAGGTATAAATATATTATATCTATATTTCGTAAGCTATAAAAGACAAATCATATACACAAAGCTGATGTAAAACGGTTCGCGAATGAAAATAAGTGCGATATTATAATTAAAACGCTTATTTCAACATTATTTTGTAACAACGCGTCTAATCTTATATCTCTTGTGTACCTACATTATAAAGGTCAAATTCCTGTTCTGTGACTTTCAAAACTTACCGGAGTAATGGGCTTATACCATTTTAACGCTTCAAAGGGTAACGCGAAGTAGTGTAAATGCACAATATCGGTCGTGATGTCAAGATTTAAAGTTGTAATGTCAAAGAAGCCTTTTCCCGTAAATATATTATATAGTCCGCGGATGGAAATATATTTTATACTATAAATCCATGTTATATTTACTCGCGAGAAACACGTAGTACAGAATAATAATTCACAAATGTGATGAAAGTTATTTGAATAGCAAATTATCGGTATGATATTATTGATTATGGCTAATCCGTCGTCGAAATGTCATTATTAACAATACAATGGTAATAACTAATAATAATGGCAATAGTAACAACGGTGAATAATGATAATGATAATAATGATGAAGTAAATTATTATAAAAGAAAAAGTATTATAAAAGTTTTTTGTTAGCACAAAAAAAAAACAAAAAAAAAAAATTAATATAGTCTTTAATAAGTAAATAAATTAATTATACAATGACTTAATTAGTGCACGAATATATTTATAAAGATAAGTAACAGTTTTAAATTCAAATTACTTTTCACTATACATATATATTTCTATACCTATAATATTAATGTACTAGGTAATAATCTTAACATGTTTATTAGCTATCATACAAAAAAAAAAAATTAATTAAAATATAAAATTCAATCGATTGAAATCCGTACTATCCAATAAATAAATTATGTAAATCTCGACTTTGAAAACTGGGTAAACATTTGCATAAATACATTTTCATCGTCAGAACTTTGTACTAAAATTATAACAAGTTACTATTATACATTATCTATATCTATTATTACTAATTATTTAATGGCCAACCTCGTATATATAATCAAAATGAAGTGTTTTTTTCACCCCATAAAATAGTAATAGTAGTAATAGTCGTACACTTATTACACTTATATTTGATATGTTTTACTTATTGTTTATTTAGTAATCGTCTAACTTTTGAATTTCAAATTAATTAAAAAAAAAAAAAAAAAAACTTTCACAATAATAATAAAAAGAAAATTTAATAAGTTTTTTCACGTTATTCACATTGAAGCGTAAAAGTTACATCGTTAATTCTTTCAATCAGTACCTATAGAATATGATGTATTAATGGATCAAGTTCATGTAGGTATACTATATATTTACGAATACGATAAATAATAAATAATAAATCTGTATATTATGCATCAAATATTATCGAAATTAGTGGTTAAAGTTAGTAATTATCGTTTTTAGTTTACTTCCGGTATCGATTAAAATAAACATACGATAAGATAAACATATATCGCATACAGTGTATCAGATCATTTCAAACGTTTTTAAACATAAATATAACGTAGGTAAAAAATAACTGAAAATTTCATGTACTCCGTCTTCAAAACTCGTACAGACATAGAAAAATTCCTGTTTATTTTTACTTACAAATCATTGCATTGCTATATAACTTCACGTTTATTTTTATTTTTTAATTACAATCAACCGTTTACAAACAAACACACACACACACACACTCACACAATGAAACTCGGTCGAGGGAGGCTACTGCATTAATTAAACGTCGTCAGAGTCGAAATTGTCGTCGGGTACG